CGGTTTGCTAAGGATAGGTATTTCTTTGTTCTGTGTTTTCAGGTCTTATTTCTTTTAAAACCCCACAATCTTTCATGATCACCAAAGCTAACACACATTCTTTGTTTACAGCAAGAACCTCCCTACCCTGCATTTCCAAACTTTATAATGCAAGAACAACAAAACAAATTGCTCCAGGTTTAAAAAGAAAATGTTGGCCCTGGCATGCTAATCAGAGGCAAGACTCAAACCCAAGGCCCAATAGGCCCCATATCAAAAGGCTTTAAGATCTAAAAGCGAGTAATAAAAAGCAGCTTTAATGCAAAACGGTTTGGATTGAAACAAGAGACTTCCGTTAAGTGCCCAGTACACTAATAAAAAAGATAGCCTTGAGGTACGTGTACAAGTTAAAAGTGGGAGTTGTGTGCATTAGTATTTATGGGAACGGCAGCCCCGTCGCTACAACCCGCTTACAGGAAGACTCTTCATCCGCCACAGGAAGCAAACCCAGGCTATCAGGCTTAATCCAGCTCTGCAGTTTATTTACTCCCTCAGAAAACAGACCTGCCCTAAAACAACATCTACTTTTGATTTCAGCCTGATGACAAAGGTCCTAGCTGTGAATTAGATAACCAGCCCTTAAGGAAACCCAACCACCAACTCATCCAAAGACGACCACAGCTGAGACAACTGCTACTCTTAATTCTGACTGGCAAGCACAGCTCGCTCTTTTCAGGGTGGACTGAGCAAAACAGTCCTAGACTTGCCACCAAGGAGTCTTTTCCTTTAAGTTTGAACAATGCAGACCCTCATGAAAGTCTCAGTTGCTTGAAAAATGCATTTTTAATTTGAAAATTAGTTGGGTACGCTAGGTCTACGTTCAGGGCTAAAACTCTAATTTATAATCAAAGCAGCTAGTTACTACATCCTTCTCACTGGTACCTTCAGTAACACATCCTTCATCCATCACCAAATTTGCAAAGGATTATTTAACAGATCTCAGGAGAGACTGAAACACTGAATGATAGGCAAAGTCCCTTTTCACTTACTATGGACAGTTGCCATTTATCTAACAGCCTTGGAATACAAAAGGCAGTTTGTATAGCTCCAAAAATATTTCTTGGCCTTTACTCCAAAAAAGCAAATGAAACAGTCCTATGACTTCATGAAATATTTGAACTCATATTAATGCAAAGCTTTTTTATTATGAAGTTACCAGGAAGATTATATGCAGATGAAATTCCTCCAGGAAAAACAAGTTCTCATCTTTGTTGTCACACAATGCATTAGCAGGGTCTCCAGATAAGAATGTGAATATTTGCAAAAAATAATTTCCCAAGACTAGCCTATTGTGTTCATGCACCAGAATATGAGTTCCAAATCATGATTCTGTGAAATCCACCTAAATTTGTTCAAGTCAACCTCTGCATCCAGCCCCCAACGTGATTCTGTCAAGAGAAGTGTGCCAAGTTAAAGCCTTACATTTAAAATGTTTTTAACATTTTTAGTTGTTAAAATGAGTACTCTATTTTTATCATGACTTTAAAAAAATAATTCCACTTTACTGTTTTTATACAGTATAGCTTTCCTTGTGCATTTCAAGAATGAGCTTTCCAATAAAGTCTGCAGGACTCAGATTTACATCCTCACCCACTGACAGTTTAATTACTTTCATTGTAGGAGAAAGTATTTAATCACATACGGTCTGAAAAACAGCCCCTTAAATACAGGCTTTTGGGCCCGTGATTCCCCGATTTGAAATTCAATGAAGGAGAATGAAACATGCATACTGTGATCCATTTCCTGATTCAGAACACTTGATATTATCAAAACATACAGAGTTCCACAGCTGACACACACATTTTTCTAAACCATTGGTAAAATCCTTCCAGCATTTTAAACCCACAAAATGAGGATTCAGTGTGCTTCAGATCAGATCGAAAGGCAGTGCTAGTCAATGAGCCATACAAAGACCAACATAATAATGCTGTGCTAATTAACATCTTAAAAATAGTCCTTCTAAAATACTGCTTGAATTACGCTGGTATTTTAACTTTCTTAACAGTTACAACACTAAAGGTAAGCCATCTCTGGTGGCTCTCAGCAATAGATATGCATTAATTGTTCCTTATTTAAAGAAAAAAAAAAGGAGGGGGAGGAAAGACAGACATTCTTAGACACTCGTCATGGCAATTCAGCACAAATAAGTCTGGTGAAGTCATAAAAACAGTTGTTAAGTGCAAGTGTCAATAGCTATATATTAAAGATGACTACCAGCACCAGCTGGCCTTCTTCCCCAAACCGGTATCTAATTCATTGCAGACACGACAGTTAATAAATCCAGAAATGCAACTTTTGGTCAGTTTTAGTCAGAGTATGTTGTACCAGCATTTACACTGCAATAAAGATTGATTCTGTAAAGCAGCAGCAACTCACATGCAGTTAAATGCAACTATCAGAGTATTAGAAAACTAGTTTTCCTACAAACACATGTTCTTACAGCTGCGTGTGCCACAGAACATGGGTCTCGATGGCACCTATTACATTGCACAATGACATTCAGCTTGAAACAACAGACACAGCGTATGTGTGGGTGGGTATTACATATATATTTTATAAAAGAACAATGTCTTCTGGAGTGGAAAATAGCCCAGAACACTAAAAAAAAGAAAAAAAAAAAAAGGAAAAAAAAAAGAAAAAGCTGTAACAAGAGTGAATATTTGTGCGTTTGCTTTATGAAGCTTACATTCTAATGTTTACAAAGACCACCACTTTTTTATAAGACTCTCCACTAACAAACAAATCTGGAATACATCAATTGTACAGGTAAGTCAGCCAAAAATAAGCAAGAGCTATGCTCTTCTCAGTTTTAAGAAAGCATGCAATAGGTTTTCCCCTTCTGCCACCCCTCGTTCAGGTTTCCAAATCGCAGTACCAATAAAAGCACGGTATCATGAAACTGGGGCACAGGTAACGTGTTGAATTTTATCACAGACTGTTTATCAATATTTTGCAAATGTAAGAGCAGCCTTCTTTTAGCATCAAGAAGGCAGAGAAGATACAAGCATGAATAGAAAAATAATTAAGCGATTTAAGACATCAAAAATTCAAGAAATAGCACTGTGCATATACAAATAAAATTAACATTCCAATACTGTAGAGCTCGTTTAAAAATGGCACCAATGGACAATATTTTACAATATGCACATTTATTTGAGGTGGGGAACTAATGCTCCACAGGTGAAAATGATAATACAAATAATAGTGCCACTGTTGGCCCACTATGGTACTTCTTACAATTTAATGGAAACACTTTTAAAAATAATCTGGTATGTACAAGTCTTCTGGAAACTCAACGGCTTCTTCAGAACAGAAAAAACTATGGTTCTCCCCCTCCCCTTTTCAGCCAGACAGTATTGCCAGAGATTGTGCTCACTTTTAAAGCACATAATCTTGCTTTAAATTCAGTGCTATTTTCTTTCAAAAAGATCAGGAGTTGTACTTTTAAGATAACAAAAGCATTTATGTTACAAACATTCAAAAACGGAAGCTTACGATTCTGGCAGACAATGTTGCGTATTAAATACAAACCAGCCAGCAATTACTGAACATAAAAAACTTACTCAATCATAAAAAAATACTATAATTCATCACCACAGACTTTTTACATAGTTATAAATAATAAATAGCATAACACAGTAGATTACAAACGGATTTATTTTGCCCCGTTAAAGTCTTTAAAAAGTAAAATATCTATTGTCTTACCTCAGAATGACCAAGGTACTGTATCAAGACTACTCATAGCTCAAATCTAACTCCTGAATCAAACAATTTGCAGAGCTTGTATTCAATCCAAACTTTCAAAGTCTTTCCTTAGACATCAAATGTTCACTTAGCTGCTTGCCCTGCTCACGCTGCACACAGCAGCTGCCAAAGGTATTATTTCAGCTGCCATCTCACAGCAGAGTTGGGATTGCCCACAGCACCTTGCAACGGAGCACACACACCTTGGAAAGGAACACTAAGGAAAGCAGCATCGAGGACAGATTCTGGTAAGCACTCTATAAACAAGCTGTACACAAGGGACTTTTCCCACCCACCCCTCTGGTTTACATTCCATCATTTTGTAACAATGTCCCCTAAGGCACAAAAATACCTATGACCTCAATGCCACAGGAGACATCGATGGTGCCATACACGGTTCTCCTACACAGTAGTTTAAATAACTTAGTTATCTGCACTGTATATCTTAGATCGAGGTGTGGATTAATCTTCCTTGGCCAAATCTTCCTGAATATTGACCTTATTTCATCCAATCTGCAGGATAAGGGATATGGGGAGAGAACTACGCAGCTATTTTTAATCATGTTTGTAGAGTATTGTTGTTTCTTCACTGATGGCAAAAGTGCCAGTCATTAGTTATTTTGTTGTGTTGTTTGGGTTTTTTTTTAATGTAATAGAGTGAGATTTCCAGACCCACTGTGGTCTTCAGTAATAAAAACTACTAGCAGCACTAAGAAAATAAAAGATTTTTTTTTTCTCCCTTCTGTAAGAGAATTTGAGGCTGGTGACTGAAAAAAAAAAAACCAAGGAGAATAGTTTTACTCAATGGTAGAAGTGCCAAAGTATAAATTAGTATTTTCAAATCCTTCCGAACCAAATTATTTCCCTAGACACAGCGACCACGATAACGATAGAAGTATTTTCCTAAAAATTGCAACACTAATAGGCAGATACCTATTCTTGGAATCAAAAAAGTGTATGCGAGTTTCTGGAAGCAAGAAGTTAGTATAATCTGAGCAGACATCTTGTTTAAAAAATAAATTCGCAAAAACAGACATTAATATGGTCTACAATGTCCATTAAATGGATAAATCAAAATCACTGGAAAGTCACCAAGGATTACAGTTACAATAATTTTTTTTTCCTTTTAATAATCCTCCTGTTAATGGTTCAAGGATCAGAGTTCATCTCTCTGTACAAGTGTACAGGAAGGGAACAGCACAGCCAGACAATGATTTAGAACTTAAGTCACTTAGGTGAGAGATCATCCATCAAAATGAATGAAGAGCATGAGTTTGAGCATGTTACTGGAGACTCGGTGGTTATGCTGCCTTTAGTCAGGGAATCCGAGGAAGAGCCAACACTGCTGCTACTCCCATCAAGAATATCTGAAGACAGGCTGAGGAGAAAGAAGAAGGTTATTTAGTAACATAGACTTGATGATTTTGCATACAAAGCTCGTGTACTTTTGCCTTGTAGAAAAGATGTAGGAGACATATACTACCACTCAGTCTTTACTGCAAGACTGGCAGCCCTGAAGACTCCTCGTTTTCTGTAGCATGTTATATATATATTCATGCTCCTTATGGGAATAAGGAGCAGAATTAATTATTTTTTTTTAACATGCAGAATAAATTATTACTCTGTTTTTAATCAGTTATAGAAAGGAGGTGAAAACTAATAAGAATAAAGCCTTAAAGGTTATAGGAAAGGAATAGTAAGAATCTAATCAGCAAGGTAGCTAAGATGTCATTAATTAGCTACTACGTTCTTTAATGCTGCACTACTCAAACCAAGATTCTGAAACCTCTTTTTCCCTTTTAAGTAAGGAATTTCTGTATTTAGATTTCAAAATCTTGATTAAAATATTCCAGAGGGCACATAAATTGATGCTTTTGCAATTTAGCTGGAAGCAACATGAAAAAAAATATTTCTAGGCAGTTTCAAGTCTGTAGGTAAACTGAAATTACAGTAATGCAGAGCGATGTTTTAGAATACTTAATATCTGACATTTGACACAAAAAACCCCTCAGCTTTTTACAATCATAATACAGAAAGGAAACAGACTGTTAGAAATCAAGAATATATCAACATGATCTATGTAACTGCAGTGAACTATTCACACACGCATTTTCTAACTATTTAGGCAAGTTCCACAGATACTACATGACCACTGTCTACAACATACTGAAATGAAGCATCTTCGGGGTGAATTAACTTTGCTTACGAACCAACAGGGATTTGCAACGATTACATTCAATATATTAAGTTTTGATACATAAAATCTAGGCTAGAGTCTGCTTAGAAAAACAAAACAAACAAACCTCCCTCCCTCCACACACAAACAAACAAACAAAAACCCCAAACACCACCAAGAAAGCTTGTGATAAATGCACATTCCCTGGTTTGGCATTTCAGGACACATGAAATATTTTACCATGAACTGAGATCTGTCAGATGTGTAACATCTGGAGAAAGCATGTTGGTTGTTCCTTGAAAAAGTCTCTTTGGCTGACTTTCAGTTTCCATTTCACCTAAGGAAAACAGCACAAATAATCAAACTCACTTGAGGCTCAGGAACATCCATTTAATATTTGTCTATGGTAAAAGAGAGGTTTGTTCCACAACAGAGCAAGGTTGCATCTGTAACATGGCCAGTCCCCCAATTCAGCCAACCAAGCACTTGGGTAAGACATTAATTTGATGCTAGTTGTTGTTTAACCAGCCAGTCCATCCTTAATTTAATTAACGCTTCAGCAGTATCTGAGGGGCTACAACCATCTCGAAGACACAAAACCAGGCACTTGCTACTTAAGACTGCAATCACACAAAGTAATCTAAAGCAAGCTAATTACTGTGACTTAATTTTAAGTAAGCAGTTGACATGAGGCAACTGACATAAGCCAAAACACAGACATTAAAATTCTTAGTGATTATGAAAATAGGAATGCCAGCTTGATTCACAGTTTCACCCTCCTGTGTACAACACATTTTGATGCATACGTACACTTTTACAGAAAAGCTGAATAGAAAAAAATTGGCATGTGTATGCATTTCCACTTACTCATCATGGATCAGACCAGCTTTGTACCTGTAATCATCTACTGACACTAAAAGATTCAACATGATGAGGAGAATTCATATAATCTGTTTCATACAATTTGCCCTGAGAATGAGCTGGCTCATTAATAGCTTCTCTACAACAGACACACTGGAAATATCATGAACTTGCCAACAACAAGCTTAACCCTCTTAGTTCCAGAATATATTTCAATTTTTAATTTGGCAACAAAAACATATGAAATGGCAATAAATTTTCTGGCTTTTTACCTACACTTCACAGCAGCTGTGCTGTCAGTTTGAAAAGCCGATAGAGGTTAAGCATTATAGCAAACCTGTATATATTAGTTATGCAAGAGAAATATACTACCACTGATTTTATAAAAGATTGATAAACCCCCCAAATTTCCTATTTCCTTTAGTCCACGGGGATACATTCCCTTCTTTAAAGAGAAGGAATAACAACTTCTTTCAAGGAGAATGGGCAAAAAACCATTTATAAAACACTTGGTCTTATAAAAAAATGAAGAAAAAACAAACCATCAACTTAAGTAACCCTTTTGCCACTTGAAATTTCACAGACAGATCTGCACTGATTGCACAGTCTACCAGTATCAATTCCCTACAGCGGTGAAACGTTCTTCAAGATGTTGCTTTCTTCCCTCCACATAGCACATGGCAATTTGTTACCATGTCATTAATTGGTAGGATTAATTGTAAAGTTACTACTGAAATTCAGAAAGTCACAGGATTAAGTATTTAGGAAAATAAGTTAGGTTCATTTAAATGGATAAGATGTTTTAAAATTAAGTAATGTTTTGAAATTTCCTTGATATTTCAAGTAAAAAAGGCAAACTCCTCTCTCCACCCTGTAAAAGCTGCTCCCCGAGAGCACAGGGATAGGGCAGGAGAGCTTGCCCATTGCCTGCACTGTTTTTAATACAATCTCTCTAAAGTCTACTGTAAAATGTTTAAAGTAAAATAACACAGTATGAATATCTATTCCTTACTGATCATTGAGCTTGATAAACTTTTGTTCAATTTTTAATGTCTCTAAAATTCATAGATTTAAATAACAGCCAAGATAGAATTGGCATCTCTAAGAAAACTTGTCTCTCTTCCCTGACAATTCAATACAAATTGGAGGACATTCTTTATCTGATAGGAAATGCAGCCCTAAAACAAAAACCAATAGACAGTAACTCTTCTAAAGGCTAAATGTAATTCCTGTAAAATAAAAGGACATGGTTTTGGTGCAGTTAAGAATGTGTAAGTTAAAAAAATAATGCAGAAATGATAAGCACAGCTAGAGGGACACTTGTAAATACCTCAGTCTTACAGTTCTGCTGTGGAGATTAGTTCTGAGATATAATTCGAATATTCTTAACCTGGAATCTGTCCAGGAAAGAATGCATTTTCCCCCTTCAGGAGGAAAGGACATTGATCTATTCCATTTCTCTAAACACTCACCTTCTGAACTTTCAGAGTAAAAACAAACATTCTGTACTAAGTTTAGAAGATACTGCATGATAAGCAACATTCCTAAGATGATCTGAAGGGTGTGCACCATACAGTGGTACTCTTAGGAATGTCAGGGCTTACGAATATTCATAACATTTAATTTGATGTGGAATAAAGTTTGCCTCTTCCAAGCAGTAGCTGCCTTGACATTTTTTCATTCTAGTGTTTTAGACTAGCTACTTCACATCGTATTTTTAAGTTACAACCACCAAATTCCAGTTCACCATGGATGTAAATGCATTATATTTACAGAACAACAAGAAAAAAATATGGAAGAGAGAAATGCATCCAGCTGCAAAACTACATCCATATTAAAACACCGATGGTGTAAATACACATACCTTTTCTTTTAATGGGGCCAAGAACACTGGGCCTGATACAGTTGATTGGACTTTGACTCCTCCTGCTAAGAGAGAACACCAATACACACTGAGGCCTGTACAGGTTCCAAGTCTGAACACCACCATACCTAGCATCAAATCAACACAATCACATCATATATGAAATGTTCTTTAAAACTTACAATATTCCTGCACAACTGGAATGCTCAGGGAATCCAAATACATAGACAACAAAGAAGTGCTGCCTATTAGAGCAGATTATCTGCCACACAAAGTT